CAGGTGTCCCGGCTATGCTGGGCACTGACCCCTGATGACTCCAAGTCCTGTGATGGAGCCTTTAGCCTCCTTAGTGCCTGCAAGGAGGGCAGCCAACAAGGAGGGGCAGAGCCTGGGGCCTCTGACAGCTGGCTGATCCTGAGGTGGCCCTGCCTGCCACAAGTCAGAGGTGCCGGCGGGGTCCCTGGGTGCTGGTCAGCTGGGCCCGCATGGTCTGGATGCTGCCCAGGATCTTCTTCTGGTGACCCATGAGGGTGATGCCCAGGGCCCTCACGTCCCTGTGGAGGAAGGGTGATGCAGGCCAGGTTGATCTGTGGGGCCTGGAGCCACAGAGGCAGGGCCAAGCCCATCCCCTAGAACTGCCAACCTCCTCAGCAGCCCTGCCCCTGGCTCCGGGCCTCTGGCCCTGTGGGGACCACCATCGCCTTCACTCACTGGGCATTCATACGCAGCACCATGCCCAGAGAGGAGTAACCACCGGCAGCGAAGTGGTCTCGGTACCGGCCCATGCGGATGGAGTCCAGCCAGTCCCCCACGGTGAGGCCCCCGCCACTGCCCCCTCGGAGGTCAAAGCAGCTCCGGGCGAAAGCAGGGGGTGGGCACCTGAGGCATAGGGGCTGTTGGTGAGTGGCCTTCCCCAGGGACCCTGGCACTAGCCACCCTCAACTTCCATCCAGGCATCAGGCTTGGCAGTGGGCAGAGGCCTAGAAGGAGGGGGCTGAGGAAGGGCCCAGGTGGGGTCTGGTCTAGGGGTCAGGGCAGAGCCATTCCAAGCCTGGAGCAAGTCTGGGCTATGTCTGGGGCAGGAGATGGTCTAAGGCAATGCTGGGACAGCAATTTGGCCTTGATGGAGCTAGGGTGGGTGCAGGGCACCTGCTGACAGTGGCGGTGGCCCTGAGACTCTCAGGGCTGCGGATCAGTGCATCAAGGACACTGATGATTTGGGAGAAGCGAGGCCGCTGGGCCCGGTCCTTGTGCCAGCAGTCGAGCATGAGCTGGTGCAGGGCGCGGGGGCAGCCCATGGGTGCAGGCAGGCGGTACCCCTCCTCTACAGAGCTGATGACCTGCGGGGGCACAGCACTGGGCTCAGCGTCTCTCCCTCTGAGGCCCCACTGTGCCACTGCCCAGCCATGGCCCCAAACTCACATCTCTGTTGGTCATGTTCCAGTAGGGCCGCTCCCCGTAGGCCAGCACTTCCCACATAACCACGCCAAAACTCCACACATCGCTGGCCGAGGAGAAGGTACGGAAGGCAATAGCCTCAGGGGCTGTCCAGCGGATGGGGATCTTCCCTCCCTGTGACGGTGGAGATGTTAAGGGGCTGCTCAGGCTCGGCAGGACCTGCACCAGGGCTCCTCCCCCCGGGCCCGTGTCAGGTAGCAGCCTGGGGCCTGTTTCCCCTTCCTGTTCTGGTGGGGAGACCTGCCTCCACGAAGCTGCTATGGGGGTGGAATGGAGGGAAGGCTGCTAGGTGCCTGGTGCACAGTAGCTGCTCAGAAAGCTGGTCAGCAGGCCAGTGCCCCAGTGGGGTGGATGCTCAGGGAATATGACCCGATTGCTTTCTAATGCTTCCTCTCTCTCCCTCCCGGCCTCCCTCCCCGCCTCCCTCCCTCCCTCTTCTTCATTTTTTTTTGGAGGGGGGGTCACAAAATCCTTCCTCTGTATGAAACTGTGCTCAGTGGGGGAGATGGGGGCTCTGACTGTCAGGTGGGGGCCAAACCTGTCAGGCAGCCCTCTAGACACCTCTAGAGAAGCCCAGATCTCCATGGAACACATTTGAAAGCGGCTGGGTTTTAGCTAAACTTTAGAGACAGATGCAGAGTCTGTGTGACTCAGAGAGATTCCAACTTGCCCAAAGTTTCCCAGCGAATGACAGTGCCGCCCCACCCGGGTCCCCCAGACCACTGAGGGTAGAGGAAGGCAGGTGATGTTGTTCTTATTTTCCAGAGGAAGGAACTGGGGTGGAGAGAGGAGATCGGATGTGCCCCATGTCAAGGGCAACTGTGAAATTGCCAACTTCACTCAACCACCTGTGGGCCCCGGGTCAGAGTGTCCCCAGATGCCTCCTTGCCCCTTACCCCCAGAGCAAAGGGGTGTGGGCCACGCACCGTGGTGGTGTAGGCAGCATCGGGGTCGTCCTCCAGCACCCGTGAGAGCCCGAAGTCAGACACTTTGCAGACCAGGTTGCTGTCCACCAGGACGTTCCGGGCAGCCAGGTCGCGGTGGACATAGCCCAGGTCTGAGAGGTAGCGCATGCCGGCGCCCACTCCCCTGAGCATGCCCACCAGCTGCATGATGGTGAACTGCCCATCGTGGGTCTGCGGAGGGACACAGCTTGGGCTTCAGGGGGCCCAGCGAGATGCCTGGTCCGGGGACAGGAACCTTCCCATCCGTGCGATACTTGAGAGCTGAGGTGGCTCTTGGCAACTTGCGAAGTGCTTCACTGCTTATGAAGCACCTCGCAGTTTATGGTTTATTCTCTCCGTCCCATTTACACTCACAGCAACCCTGTGAGGTAGGTGGGGCAGCAATGACCGCTTATCCACTTGGTGGAAGAGAAATGGAGGTCCGGGGAGGGGCAGGGTAAGGGCTATGCCACCTGGCACATGGACAACAGCTAGGGACCCAGCTGTTCCCACCACACCCCTGCTCCCTGCCAGGTGGGGCCTGTTCAGGGCAGCAGGACCCCGCAGAGCAGAGCCCATTAGATTGGTGATATGAAGACCCCCTCCTTAGTCTTGCTGCCGCCCACCTTTCCCCAGGCCTATTGGGTCTAAGCTGGAGAGGGGGCTGGAGGGCTTTGGGCTGTCTCTCAGCACCCAGATGGAGCTTCCCTCCCCCAGCCCACAGAAGAGGCCAGGCAGACACACACCCTCAGGAAGGCATCCAGAGAGCCGTTCTCCATATACTCGGTCACGATCATGGCCAGGCGGCCTGGGGAGGAGGATGGGGAGAGGTGGCTCTTGGTGGGGATGTCACAGCTACTGATCAGAGCCTCCAGGAAGGGGTCCCCACCCCAGGAGTTGGGCCAGCATTGAACATCCCAGGGTGCATAGAGTTCCTACTGGGGTCCTGGGCCCTGGGCAGCCTCAGAGTCATACGGGCACCTAAGCCGAGGGGACAGGACCAGGGTGAGGTAGAGCACAGTGAACCAGGGGATATACCCAGAGCCCCATCTGGATATAGGGCCCCTGCAGGGAGAGGTTGTTCTTGACTGGCACCTACCACGGGTGACGACACCCTCAAGGCGGATGATATTAGGGTGGTCGAACTGACCCATGATGGATGCCTCGCTCAGGAAGTCCCGCCGCTGTCTCTCCGTGTAGCCTGCCTTGAGGGCCTTGATGGCCACAGGCACATCCCGCTGCCCCGGCACCCGCAGCCGCCCATAGCAGACTTCCCCAGATTCTCCTGCAGACCCCAAGAGCGGCAGGCAGGGAAAGCAGTGGGACCCTCCTCCCCTACCCCAGATCCCCACACTGGGCCACCAGGCCCGTCTCCCCCATCCTCTGCTTTGGGTGCCCTCCACCCACTCTGTGCTGACCCCACCCTCCAATCTCCGGGGCTCACCAGAGCCAATGATTTTCTCGATGTGGATCCTGGAGGCCTCAATCTCTCGGGTGAAACTGCGGCCTGCCCGGCCCGGTTCCTCATAGTTGTGGGGTTCTGCACAGACCTGGGGTTCTGGGAGCTTTCCCGGGGGGTGGTGCAGGGGCAGGAAAACAGGAGGGGGTGCTGAGGCCAAGGGAGAAGAGCTTTCAGTGGGGTCCGGGAGGCATTCCCTTGGCCTGGGGAGGGTCTGGGTTGGGGGGGCAGGGTGTCTCTGGGAATCTCTAGATGTGATGGCAAACAGGTGGTGCCCCATAAGTGCTTGCCCAGTGAAAGTGAGGTCTCCGTGGAGTAGCTCTGGGGTTTCTATGGGGCTGTGGAGTCTCCAGTGAGTGCTAAGCATGTCTGTCATTTTCTGGGGTCACTTCTAGAGTCCTTAAGATCTTTCTACATTGTTCTGGGATAGGGATGTGCCAAATAATAAGTTTTCACCACAAGAGCCAGCTTGGACTGATCAAAAATACCCACAGTTTCCTGGAAGACTGTGTTAAGAAGGATTCTGAGGCTGCATTTAGGCCCAGTGGGAATCAGCACCATAACTGATACTGAATTCTGCCTAGGCACAGGACTGGGGCATTGAGGCAGGCACCCCCAGAAATGCCTGATTTTCTGGTGTCTCTACAGGATCCTCTTGTCTAAGAGTACATTAACCCCCCTGAAGTCACATGTGAATGAGTGTGCCCATTTGTGCATCCCTTGGGGAGAGGGTCTCTGACATCCTCAATGAGGTCTGCAAGCCCAAGAGAGGTGACAGCACAGCCTTCTGGGTGCCAAGTCTCCGGGGTTCTAGTCTCTTTTGTGGGCACCTTTCTCCTTTCCATTTATGCCACTGGGTCCCTCTGTGAGCTCCTCTTTGCACCCAGGTCCCCAGGCCCCTGCACTTACCCTGCCCATTCTGATAATGCATCTTTTCCTCATCCGAGTCCTGGAAGGCCTTGCTGTAGCCACAGTGTCTATGGAGGAAGGTCCACCACACTGCCTGAGGCCAGGCTGTCCCTAGCCCCAGCCCTGGCCTTGTCTAGGGGGCAAGTCAGGGCTCCTCCTTTCCATTCCCTTTCCCTGACAGGTCAGATCATGCCCTATATGACATCTTCAGGGGAGAGTCTCCAGCCTCAGGCTCTCAGCCCAGCTGATTCAAGATAGCCTGGATAGTCACAAGCATTTTGTGAGCTACAAAATGCCCTCAAGTCCACCCAATCCTCACAGCAAAGCTATTAGCCTTATGTTAGTGAAACCACCCCCTGGAGGAGGGCTTGGGAGATGTGCATGGCCTCGGCAAGCCTCTTCTCCTACCTGGGCTTCTGTCTATCAGATGATCCTCCCATTTTTGTTGTCTGGGGTCCTAAGCCCATGTTTAGTTCACTGCCCATCTCCAGGAGAGGCGCAATGACTGAGCTGAGCATGGTCTCCAGTTTGATATGTCCCAGCTTGGATATTTGTCAATGGTGTGACTTGGACAAGTGACCTGACCACTCTAATCCCTACTTTATTCTCCTGCAAAATGAGGTCAGAATCTGTACCTCACTGGTGTATCATTGGGTTAAATGAGATGATATGTTTGTAAGTGAGCCAACCTCGGGCACGTGGTTTGGTGTGACTGGAGGCAAGTGGGAGGTATAGCATACTTGGGGAGAGGGTTGGGGGACTGGGTCGGACCACCCACCTCTTCTTACAGATGAGCAGGAGCAGAAGCACCACTAGGCCCGTGATGAGGGTCAGGCAGATCCAGACGATGGTCCGGGTGTCATAGCGGGGCCCTATAGGGAGACCAGGATAAGGGGAGCAGGTCTCAGGCCCAGAATCTGGCAGCCCCACCTGCCACCTGCCACCTGGGCACCCTGGGTCCTGGTGGGCAGTCTCCTTAGCCACAAGCCAGCCCGGCATCTGGGGCAGAGACCGCCTACCTACCCCCCTATTAAGCTTTCCCCTCAAGACCCTGCTGCCCTGGGTTGCCTGGCTGCCTGGGACTGTGTGACCTGGAGAGAGTCACTTCACTTCTCTGAGCCAAGTACAGATGGGCCAAAAAAAAAAAAAAAAAAAAATCCAAAAAACCCTGTCCTTCCTATTACCCTGAGAGCAAGAAAGTTTAGTGTGCTGAGAGCTATACATTTAAGCCTTGATGAACCCTCCCCAAATCCTTTCCAGGGAGATCAGATGATACCTTCAGTTATCAGAGGCAAAAACTGGGGCTCAGAGAACTCAAGGAATTTACTCAAGTCCACACAGTAAATGAAATATGAGGGGACACACCCTGGCAGTTGCAAGGTGGCACCAGGCCTATGAGCACTTAAGACACACAAGTGCCAAGGGGGTAGCAGGTGGGGTGGCCGGAACTCTGTCCAGCACCAACATGTGGAAAGGCCCAGGCACAGATGAGACCTTGACTGGCTGGCGATGGGGCAGGTTGAGAGCAGAAGAGAAAGTCTCTGAGTCAGTGTTTCCCAAACTTGAAAGTGTCCTGGGATCTCCTGGGGACATTTTAAAACCCACATTGCTGGGCTCTCCGCCCCAGGATTTCTGAAGGGCTGGAGCAGGGTTCGAGAATCAGTATTCCTAATGAGTGCCAGGCTGGGTTTTGAGAACTCCTGAAGGCCAGGAGCAGGATGACACTGGGGAAGGGGCTTGGAATCTATCTTCAGACTGACTAGGTTCAAATCAATCTTGCTTTGTTGGGTGACCTTGGCAACTCACTCTACTGCTCCAACCCTGATTTGGGGATGTGGACCACAACAGCTCACTAGTGTCTGGGACGATGACGCGGCTATTCTGCTGCAAAGGGAATCGGGGCCTGCAAGTGACACTGATGCTCCGCTAAAGCCAGAGGCCAAAGGGGCTATTGCCAGCTCTGGCGCGTTGGGCAAGTAACTTTTCTCCCTGAGCCTCCGCTTTGCACCGTGACAATGCCGCAGACAGTCCCACAGGACAAGGAGAGCAGAGAGGCTGCGGGCACCAGGCCCTCTAGTCCCGCTCAGCGCTCTAGTCCGTTCCTGCGCCAGGGTGCAGGCGCCTGGGTGCGCGTGCTCCGCCCTCCCGGTTCCCAGCACTCACGGGGTTTCCCAGTCTCCACCTCCATGGCCTGGCTGAAGCGGCCGCAGCCTGCCGAGGTGCGGGCTCGGACCTGGAACACGTAGCGTGTGCCCGGCTTGAGGCCGGAGATGGTGGCTCTGGTAGTGACGGCCTTGAGCGTGGAGTAGCTCTGCATTTCCTTGTCCTGTAGGGGAGGGTGGTCAGCGAGCCCCACAGCCCGCGGGCCTAGGCCCCCCACCCGCTGCGGTACCTTCTCATAGTACTTGATCTCGTACTCCAAGATGATGCCATTGGGCTGCTCCGGCTCCTGCCACAGCAGCGACACGCTGGTCTGGCCTGCCCGCTCCTGCCGGATCACCACCACCTGGGATGGGGCTGGAGACGCCGCCCGGTCAGATGCGCAGTGCAGCTAAGATTGGTGACCTCCCACCCCTCCCCAGGCCCTGCTCTGGGACCTGCCCCAGTCCTGGGAGGGCCAGCAGCCTCCTGTCCTCCGAGTAAATTGCTGGCCGCCACCTGGGTCAGCACCCTGGGGGTGGTGTGGCCCAGCCTTGTCTGGGATGCTGGGTGGCTTGACCTAGCCAAGGCCTTGGTGTCCCCTCAGGAGTGCTTGAGGGAGGGAAGGACAGGAGGAGGGAGAAGGGAGAACGGAAGAAGCAGCGCCCACTGCCTGGGTGTGGAAGGCATGGCCAGGACAGCTCTAGATTCCCAGGGAAGGTGACCTGAGCCCTCGGGCCCATTTGGGCTCAGGTTGCCCTGGGTCACTGGGCCTCCCTAGGTGACTGACTCACCTATTTCTTCATTCATCCATTCCCTCCCTCCCTGTGGTTACCCCTGAGGTGAGGCTGCTGGAAGGTGCCAGATATGGGGACAGCCACAGCCAAGCAGAGGGAACTGCCCCTATCTCCCTAGCTTGCCTGGGAGCTCCCTGAAGGCAGGGACTGCACACATTAGATGCCCAATAAAGATTGCAGGCTGACTCTGACACAAAAAGTTAAGGAGCAACTCCAGAGTGGAGTTGGAAGGATGTGATCCAAGGGAACCCAATCTGGGACTCAGATGTGGACTCAGAACTCAGCTCTCTCTCTTGTCAGCTGGGACCCTGGGCAAGTCATTGGCTGTCTCTGGGCATCAGTGTTCCCATCTGTAAAGTGAGGCTGGCAGGTACCACCTGCCAGGGCAAGGTGAGGGTTAGAAGAGGCCACTATATGGAGGGACACACAGGGAGTGTCTCTTAAAAACCAAGGATGTCCCAAAGCAGGGGGTGAGGCAGGAGTGGGGCAGAGAGATGACAGCAGGGCACGGGGGAAGGAAAGAGGTCGTATGCACATCTCGGGGGGCTCCAGGGAGGAGGTGGCTGTGCAGGGAGGGGGCCAAAGGGCAGGCAGGAGGGGCACAGTCCTCTCTGTTGGCTCAGGGCTTCCATCTGTCCCTAGACCTCATCCCAGAGCTGTGGGCTTCCACTTGATTCTCTCCCTAAGAGGCACTGGGCTAGGACCTCGGGGCACTGCAGTACCCAAGACAGCCCTCAAGGAGCTAGTGGTCTTGTGAGAGAAAAAGGAAGTAAACAAGAAAACCAACCAGCAGGATATCTGCAGGTTGTTTCAGTGCTGGGCAGGTACCAGGAGAGTGTTATGGCGGAGAGGACCTCATGCAGGGCTGGGAGGGCATGGGGCTGCTTTAGCTGGTGGCCAGGGTGGGCCTCCCTGGGTGGGGGGAGCCAGTCTTGGAACACCAGGGGGAAGAGCAAGTCATGGAGAAGGACGAGTGAGACCAGGGCCCAGCAGCAATGAAAGGGTTGGTGTGTACTCAAGGGTGAGGCCCAGAGGCCAGGACGGCTGGCTGGCTGTGAGCCAGCACGGGAGAGGACAGGTCAGGGTTGGAAGGCCAGCAGAGTGCAGTCACAACCTGGGCCACATGTGCTTTCTGTAAAGGGCTCAAGCACAGCCTGACCTCACTTAGGTTTCTGAAGCTTGCTGAGGAGTGGTACAGAGGGACACCTTCATGGGGCAAGGTGACATGATGGTGTGGACGGTGATGTGGAGGCTGAGGGTGAGGGGGACTAGCTAGTGGATGGTGTGGAATATGAGAGTCAGGGTGACTGGGTTTGGGCTTCAGTGACCCAGTGGTCAAGGTGCCCGGTCCTGAGCCAGGGCTCCATGGGAGGAGCAGGTGTGGGGTGCTGGCTATTCCTCACACACCCAAGCAGAGGAGGGCTGGACAGTTAGACCCCCACGGGGAAGTCTGCATGGGTGACATAAGTTAGGATGGATAGGACAAAGGGGGAATTCAAAGCCACCAGCTCTGATAAGGCCACCTAGAAAAGATGGAGGGTGGCACACAGGGAAGAGAGGAGGGCCCAGGACACACTGGGCACCTCAGCCTTTAGAGGCTGTGTGATGAGACGGCTGCAAGTACACAGGCCAGAGAGGGAGATGGAGAATGGGGGGTGGTCTTGGCCATGAATGCAAGAGAAAAGTGCTCCATGAAGGAGACAGGACAGGGCAGAAGTGCCTGACGGTGTGGGGACAGGGGGGTGGATTCCTGTGGAGACCTGAGGAAGACGTCTGATTGGAGTTGCCAGAAAAGGCTCACAGGGGAGAGAGAGGTGACAGGTGTGGTGGGCACAGGCAGCTCTTCCAAGAGGTTTTTAGAGGAAGTGAAACCACCTAAGGGCTGGGGAGGAACGCACCCCGGCCCAGCTTGCCCCTGCCTCAGCTGCTGGGAGACAGGGGAGTAGGCGCAGGGCACGAAGCCCTGGGCACACAGGTCTCCCTCTCACGGTTTTGCTAGCATCTGGCACAGCGCCTGGCATTTAGCAGGTGCCCACGAATGCTGCTGAACAAGGGAGGTTCCTGAACAGCCAGAGCCCTGCCTGGCGAGAAGGCAGCCCTGGGTGCAGAGCTGGGAGGTGCCTCACTTGGGAGGGGGGAAGCCCTGGGCTGGGGTCCTGGCTCTGTCACTTCCGAAGCAGGTGACCCTGGGAAGCTCCCTGGGCCTCAGTTGCTTTCTCTGTGATGTACTGGGGAAAGTGTCTGCCAGGCCAGTGCTGCATGGTGTTGGGAGGAGATGGTGGGTGGGGAGCCTGGAGGGTGTCAGACGTACTTGGGGGTGGCTGAGAAAAGGAAGTCGCCTTTGGTGGGGCTCTCGGGCCAGGCTGTTGCTTGATAGGCAGGACCCCCCAGAGTTTGAAATTTAGCCCACCAACTGAATAGAAACAGAGAAATGGCTGAGGTCCAAGCCCGTGTGACCAAATCTGTCCCAGGGGCAGCAGTGGCAGCTGTTCTGGAAAATGATCATCAGAGTAATTTTATCTTTTAATGACATTTATTGAGCATTACCCTGGGCCAGGTGCTGGGCTAAGCATTTTCATTCCTCTCAGTTAAGCCTCAGAACAGAACCTATGGCAGGTATTATTATTCCCACGGCACCAAGGAAGAAACAGAGGCGCAGAGAGGGAGGTTCTGGAACCCAGGCTTATGACAGCCACACTAGCCTGCCTCTGTGCTTTTTGGATTCCTCCCACTTATAAAATATGTTCTATTTTTCTAGGGCATAAAGAGCCTCTAGCTCTGGATCCTGGTGAGGAGGGTAGGTCCTGAGAGGCAGCAGTCTGACCCCTGGGTGGGCACAGGGCCCAAGAAGCTGGGGGACGGAGTGTCTCCGCCTACCTGCCTGGTTTGTGGTGATGTTGACAACAGCAGCCTGGCGGGGCTCCGGGCTCAGGTCCGACACGCCGTTGACAGCCTCAATCCAGAAGGAGTAGTTCATGTGTGCCAGTAGGTTGGCCACCAACAGGCTGGCTTGCACCAAGCTCGTCTGCTGGGGCACAAAGCGGGTGCCACTCCCACACGCCTCACAGTGGCTCAGGGCCCAGGGGCAGCGGCGGCACACGGCATTGTAGGTGATGTCACTGCGGCCACCTGGGTCCAGAGGAGGAGCCCACTCCAGAGTCACTGATGTCCCATTCACGCTAGAGATCAGGTTTACTGGTGCTGAGGGAGGCCCTGGGGACAGAGGATGAGAGGTGGGGGGGGAGGGTATTTATCTGAGCTGGTTCAGTCTCTCCACTGTTGGACCAAGGAAAAGTATCCCCCATCACATCTGGGGTTCCATAGGATAAGATCACATCTCTCCCATCCTCTGGATGCTCCCCAAGGGCAAAGCTTGTGTCCCTCTGACCACAGTGTCACATTCTGGGGAACTTAAGCACTCCAGCCCCACCCAAACTGGACCACAGGGATTCTCAAGTTTGTGCTTCCCAAACTTTTCATCCAGAGCAGGAGAGAGACGGGTAGTTCTTGGGGCCACCCACAGCAGCCACCTGCTTGTGAAGTGACCCGTTTGCAGCCACATCTGTTCCTTTTTTTTTTGGAGACAGAGTCTGAAGCTGTTGCCCTGGTAGAGTGCTGTTGCATCATCGTTCACATCAACCTCAAACTCAGACTCAAGCAATCCTCCGCCTCAGTTTTTCTATTTTTAGTAGAGATGGGGTTTCACTTTTGCTCAAGCTGGTTTTGAACTCCGAGCTCAAGCAATGCACTCGCCTGGGCCTCCCAGAGTGCTAGGACTATAGGTGTGAGCCACCATGCCCAGCCCATATCCATTCCTTAATCCAGGGCCTCCCCGGATGCCCCTCAACCATCCAGCCACATCCATGTGCTGGATCTAACATGAAATACCACTGAACACTCACAGTGGGTCAAGTGGAAACCCCAGGCAGCCCTCCGTGTGTCCCTTGGCTGTGTGTGCCAAGCATCCCCTTTCTCATCCTTGGAATGGGGGCCCCAGTCTAGGCAGCACAAAGACTTAGGAGAGAGGGGGAAGCCCCTTGGCTGAACAAATGGGGGGTGGTGGGCTGGAGTGGGCCCTTAGTTTGAGCCAGGAGGACATAGGGGGGCAGTGGGGTCCCCTGGCCTCAGAATTCCAGCTTCCAGAACCCCAGGAGGGGAATCTTAGATCTTCAGAAAATGGAACTGCAGGATCTCAGAATCAGAGAGAATCTTACAATCTGAAGAGAAGAGAATCTAAAAAGCTGAAAGGTATGGAATACTAACAACCTAGTCTTTTTCAATCTTAAAGCTTTCCAGAACCTTAGGGCACTGAATTGTAGGTTTAGAACAGCTAGCTTTGTGCAAGTGTCCATGACCCAGAGCCAGGCTAGCCTTGCCTGAGCAGCCCATGCTGTCACCATGTCACCTAGCTATCGTTTCTGCAGGCCCCACATGGGGAGAATGCAGAACATTCTGGGTCTGGGCAGAACAGAAGAGGGTGTGAGGGGACACATGTGCATGTACACACACATGCCGGTACATGTGGGCGTGGAGACACCTGGATAACCCTCACCTGCCACGTGCAGGGGGCCCAGGCCTTGGTGGTGACAGTGTGTTGGAGGGGGAGAAGGTGTCTGGGCTGGGACAGATTCTAGGACAACAGTCTGAAGTGCCCCTTGTCCAGCACGTGAGCCCAGGGCGGGCAGATGGGCTAGGCTGAGCGGGCCCAGGCCCCTCTCCACGCCTGGGCCCCATATGTGAGCAGCCCCTTCAGGGCAGGGGGAGGAGAGAACACAGGAGCTGTGGCAGCAGAATGTGAGACAGTCACGCGGCCCTGCAGGCACGGGCGCCAGAATGCTTCCATGTGCCCTCAGGTGTGCCGGGAACATGCACACAGCCCCACTAGACATGCTTCCTTGCTCGGCCAGGTGTGCACCTGCACCCACGCACAGTGAGATCACCAGACACACTCCTTCAAGTTTCACAGTCTTCTACATTCCCTTCAGGTACCCAGATACACATACAATCCCTTATATATGCAAGCACAAATGCACACTCACACAGAGGCATGCAGACGGACACACAGTTGCACGCTGCAGGCATCCCAGGGTACACAGAGTCTGACACACACACTCCATGTGCACATACACCACACACACTAAGCGAGCTGCCAGCTTTCAGCAGCTCCCACCGGCTCACCAAAGGTGAAGGTCATGGGGTGACCCCCACCCTCGCCCCAAGGTGAACACCCTGGTATGCCCACCCAGCCCCCAGGACATGGCATCACAGCCAGGTCTGAAGATGACTAAGGCTGCCCAGTGTGGGGAAGGGCATGATTCTGCCTCTAGTCCGCCCTCCGGAGCTAAGAGGAAAGACCAATGGAGAGAAGGAGAGATTTCCCTGGAAAGACAGCAAGTGACACATGACAGAGGCTGGGAGCCCAGAGATATAAAAGCCACTATTAAGGCATCAGAGTTACTCTCCCAGTCTTAGACTGGCCCCTGGCCTGGGAGAGCCACCTGCCCCACCCCACCCACAGAGAATTGGCTCCCTGAGGCCTGTGGGACTGAACATGGGTCCTGGCCCAGACTAGAGCTCAAGGTGCTGAGGCCTGGGGGTGGTACTCACGGGTGCAGGCTGAGGATGGGGGGTCCAGGGCTGCACGGTAGTAGCTGAGATCACAGCGGCAGGCCTGGGCGGCTGGGGCTGCAGAGTGACTGTGGAGAGGGCAGCGGGCACACAGCTGGTCCCCAGGGGCTGACTTGTAGAAGCCCAGCTCGCAGGCTATGGAGGAGAAGGTGGCCACAGGTGAGCCAGCCGGACGGTCTTGGTAGGCCTCGGGGACAGCTCTCACTCTGACCCAGAGCTTCCTGGTGGAGCCCCCAGAGGGACAGAGTGCAGATCCCCAGCATGGAGGGACAGAAGCACAGAGGGCCTGTGACTGACACAGGGTCCCATAGCAAGTCAGGACAGAGCTGAGGGTGGGACCCTGACACCAGAGTCCCAACCCCAAAGTCAGCCTCGTCCCTGAGCTTCCCCAAATCCCCTGGCCATCCTCCCAAGGGCCTCCACCCATACCCAGTCTCTAGCCCTGGTGGAGAGGTGCTGTCCTGTCCTTTACGGGACACTGGTCCATAGGTGAGACACCAGCCTTAGAGGCAAAGGCCATGTGGCTGAGGGCCAAAGGAGGGTAGGAATTGGGTGGGACAGGGAGCGGAGTGATGAGAATGTGACTGGAAAAGAAGTACACATGGCTGGGACCCCAAACATGGGCAGACCTAGAAATACAGATTCCTGCCCCACCACAGATGCCTGAGTCAGAGGAGCCATGATGGGGCCCAGGAATCTGTGTCACAAACTCCCCACATAGGATCATCTGTCCAGGAAATGCAGACATTACCCCTCCCAGACCCACTGCCACTCTGGCTAGGACTGACCCTCTCTCCAGCTGCTGTCACTGTCTGCTTCCTACCTCACCTGGACAGCTCCAGCCACCTCTGAACCTGGCCTTCAACCCTACCTGCCCCTCCCAGCTTCCTGGTGACCATTCATTCTGTCAACCACTCCTCCCTCACAAGTGCCAGCTCTGGACCAGGTCTAACCTAGGTCCTGGAGGCAGCTGTGAACAGCAGCCACAGTCTTAAGGGCTGGCACCGTCAAGAGGAAGACACAGTGACAAGGCTGAGATCATTTTCTAGAAGGGAAATAAAGAGAATAAGGCAGCAGAGGGGTAAGCAGTGGGTCAAATGGTCTTCCCCAAGGAGGGGACGATGTTTGAGTTGCGGCCTGAAGGAGTCAACTGGGCAGGGCCTGGGAATATTCTAGGTTGAGATAATCTCTCAACTGCGAGTCTCATTTGGTCACTGCCCATTCAACTCCCTCATGGACTCCCCGAGACTTAAACAATGAAGCCTGGCCTTCAAATCTCTCCCTGCCAGACCAAAACCCACCTGCAGCCTCTTTGAGTTCCCCCCTTCACTCTTATCTTTAGACCACACTAAAGCACTGGACCCAGCAGCTGTTTCCTGCCCCAGGGCCTTTGCACATGCTATAACTTCTTGGGATGCCTTCATCCACCTATTCAGCCCCTCTTTTAAGAGTCACTTATACTGTCCCTTCGATAAAACTTTTCTGGACCTCTACACAGATACACATATACACACACATACACAGAGAAAGAAATGACCATTCCCCTCTCTGCTTCTGTAGCTCCTGCTTGGTCTCACCACATATAATGCTATGGCTGTGCTTATGTATCCGTGTGTCTGTCTCTCACTCTAGACTGGGAGGTCCTGGTGGGCAGATCCCTGCGGACAAGGGTAGGGCTGCCCACAGTGTCCAGTGTCTGGCATGAAGCTGGCCCAGAGCAGCAGCTGTTAGCACCAGCAGTTTTCACATTTTGTGGATCCCACCAGTAACTGCTCTGGGCAGAGAAAGACTCCACAGGTTCAGGTGAACTAGGTGTCACCCAGCGGAGCAGCTCTCAGTTCCTTCCATGGAACTCAGTCCTTTGCTACAGGGACCACCAGGAAGCTTCCTGGCATTCTGTCTCCACTAGATCCTGTCCTGGAAAACTCAGTGCTTGAAAGCAGCTTCATTTGAAAAGATGTCACGTCATTTCACAGCATTTCATCTTTGGATGTTGATCGTATCTCTTTATTATAATAGCTAAAACCAGGTTAATTTGTAAAATTTTACAAACTTCAGAGAAAACCTGGAATCAAGAGAAATGATAATGTCCTTACATTGCTTCACAGATTCAGAGGCTGTAGAGTTAGAAGAGGCTTTCAAGCTGTGGGGTTGGGGAAAATAGGCCCCCAGTTTGAGGCATCTTCTCCCCTCTACATGATCCCAAGAGGGCACAGGCCTGACTAGGGGCTGGGCTTGGGGTTGGGAGTTTGGAGTTGTGGGGGCTCCCAGTCGACATACTGTGATCTCGATTCTGCTTCCCAGAAGCCCCCTGGGAGGCTCAGTCCAGGGACACAGCCTGGGACACAGGCTTCTCCTCAGCCCAGGGAGCCAGGTGGAGATGGCGCCACCGGGGGGAGGCTTTGCAGGGAACCAGCAGATATTTGTTGAACCTGTTGTTGAGTTGATGACAGTGATCCACACTGTAATTATTGGATCCATGTCAATTAGCATCAACTTTATTCCTTCCCCCAACATTTACTGAGCTTCTACTATGGACCCAAGAGAAACAAGGGCTGGTCCTGCTCTCAAGGATCTTTCAGAGCATGAGGGACAGAGTTCATAATCCTGGGCTAAGTGACATGGGGCAAGCTGCTAGAACTCAGTTTTCCTCATCTGTAAAATGGGGAGAATAATAGTACCCATCTCATAGGGCTATAGTGAGGACTACACGAGTGAATACATGTAAATTCATGCCAAGGAAGTCCCCGGCACTTGTTATGGCAATTGGATGTAAGTGACATTAATATAACTGTTTGACAGAAGAGGAAACAGGCTCAGGAAACTCGAGTGCCTTGCCCCAGGTTCCCACCTGATCCGGGACACAAAGCCAGGTCAGGGAGCCTCAGAGCTGTGGCCTATCCCCCTGGCCTCTCAGCACCGTCCCAGGGCTTGGAGATGGCTGTGCCGTTCTGTCGCTCAGCAGTCGGCAGTTCTCACATGCTCAGCTAATACCCATATGGCTATAACGTGTCAAGGCCAGATTAATCCACGCAATGAAAATAAAATAATCTTTAATAAGAATACTAATCACTAGGCCTCAGGGAGCCTGGAGACCTGGAGGCTGGGCCGGGAATTAATGGCTGAGACAGATGGATCAGCTCTGGGCTGGGGCCCAGCCCTGCCCGGCGACCCAGGGTGCTTCCGGAGTCTGTGTGCGCCCGGGTGTCGGGCCGTGTGCCAGGAGGGGCTCCTGCCCCAGCCGAGGGCACCTTGCCCAGGCCGCCTGTCAAGCCGGCAGCTGCCTGTGGCCCTGGCCACCTCTCTGTTCTCCCCCGCAAAGAGCTTGAGATTTGACAAATAAGGTGTCTGCCGGTGGACGGTCAAAGGAAATTAATTCTAAATCAGATTTTAAACACAGAAAGGCAAAAGAGCTCGTCGTTCATGTTCCCCCTCTGAAATGAGACTCTGATATTTATAGAAAGATGATTAGGGCCATGGAGGGTGATTTATATTCTGTGTCCAGGTGACAGGAAGGACAGCAACCAGGACTTCAGGCTCTGGGCTGCTTCTCCATTGGGTGATGCTCTGAGAGGGTCCCTCCCCTTTCTGGAGCGAATCTGGGAGGGGGAAGGAAGTAGAGCCAGGGTTGGGGGAGGTCAGTGGGTCAGGAGCTCTGTAGTATAGGAAGCTTTCTGGTTGAAGAATTGGGAGATCTGAGATGCTATCAAGCACTCCTTGCTGTGTGCCCTTGGGCTAGTTGCTTTACCTCTCTGGGCCTCTATTCCTACCCTCGGTGAGCTGGACTAGCTCCACACAGCTGTGACATCATTCTATGCATCTCTCAGGCCTAAGTGCAATCTACGCAAGGCCTTTAAAGAGCTGTGTGACCAGGTAGGTCCCTTCCTCCCCTCGGCTGTATTATCTTCTGTAAAATCAAGGGCTGCCCTGCCAACTTTTGAAGGGGAACCTCTGAGGGTGAAACCAGTGAGACAGGAAACATGAGGTGGGGAGGGTGGCTGTTGATGGGGACCTGGCCCCTGTTGCAGGGCTCAGGCTCTAGACCCCTTTTTCCTATCACTAGAAGGAAAGGGCTCAGGGTTGGGCATACTGGGACCCCCTTTCCCAGCTCTTCCTCTGCTCAACTGTTCACTCAGAGAGAATTTGCCCAACAGGGAACAAGAGGTCCCTAAACCAGGTGGGGGGGTCCCACAGGCCTCAGGTTGGGCAAGGGTGGCAGCAGGTTAGAAAGGACCTCTCAAGTAGCCCGGGTCAGGCACCCCACTGTGTGCCCAGCTCCTGTGTGACTGCAGGCTGTCCACCAAAGAGGCTCTGGGGCTCCAAGGAGGACATGGCAGGCTCCCATTTGGGACCTATGCTGCTCTTTCCAAATGATATTACACAGTGACAGGAGCCCACCAAAAGGAATGAGAAATGTCTTCCCTGTGCGACTTAAAATTGGCACTCCATTCCCAAGTCTCACTGTCTGCAGTGTACTATGAATTAATATTTTTTTATAAAACCTGTAATTATCTCACAACTGGCATAATTATGTTGTATTATGATTTAAATGTAAAATTCAAAGTATGCTGCAATTCCCTAACCCTGTTTGGTTCTTCTTTATTATTTTTTATTAAATGTGCCAACAGTACCAGGAAATGGGGGTATCCTCAGCCACTCCCAGTCCCGTGAGATCCTGCTGTTCATGCCTGGGGCTTTCCCCCAAGAGCCCTGTCCCTGGCATGCTGGGGAACCTTGGCCAAGACACGTTTCCTCTCTGGACTCCACTGCCCATCTCTGTCAAAGAAGAAGACTGGAGCATGGCCCGAGGCCTCTAGAAGGCCTGAGCCCAAAGTCAGGGTGGCAAGTCTCCGTCCTATAGGCAGGTGTGTCTCAGCACACCCGGGACAAATAACTGGTTCAGCTGTGTTTGTGCTCAGTGACTAAATCCTGAGTTGGGGGCAGAGGTTGGCACTGAGTGGTTATGTGCTGGCCAGCCCAACTACTATGGCTTACACTGTACCAGTTACTACTATTAGACTGTCACCCTAGGAAGGAGGGAAGTGGGGCTTTAAAGAGGGTTTTATGAACAGAGGAAGCAATTCTGGGCTCTGGAATCAGGTAACCTGGGATCATATCCCTATCTGTTAATTAAGTGGAGGGGCCTCAGTTTTTCTCACCTATAAAATGGGGCTATAGTTCCTTGCTTAGAGGACTGTTGTAAGGATGTAAAACTATGTGAACTCCGTAAAGGCAGAGACTCCATGTGCCTTTATCTCTGGTGCCTGGGACACAGCAGGTGCTCAAAGGAATGAAACACCGATATAACATGTAAACAGCACTTATTAAAGTGCCTGGCACATGGCAAACAATTGGAAAACTGTCACTAAGGCACTTTATTATCCCCATCAGGATGATGGGGTGCTGGAGAAGCTCTGGAAGAGAAAATATCCAGGGTGGAGCAGGGCGAGGCTCAGAACAGCACCGACCTGCCTGCCTTTAGGTCCCAGCTCCACCTCTCCCCAGCTGTGAGGCCTAAGCAGGTGACACTACCTCGGGTGCCCCAGTGACCCTGTCTATAAAATGGAACTGTAATAGCTGTCTTGCTATAATGAGCAAAAAATGAACGTGTGCGTGGGACACCCCCTTGTAAGCTGTGACAGCAACAGGAGGGTTTGCAATTGTTATTCCCCAGCAGAAAGCTGAGAAGCACAGAGATGTCTGTTCAGGAGCCTCAAGAGGCTGGCGGCTGGGAGAGTCTGCCAAACCGGGCTACAGAGGGCAGAACAAAGCCTGAAACAAGCAAATGTCACAGAAGGTGCTCTGGAGTTAGGTGAAGACTCATAGCAGTTGGGGTATAAACAAAGATTTCTTAAGAAAATCTGAGAGTCTCCAGGAAGGGCTGGGAAGGACCTGGTGGCCAGGAGGACATCCCAGAGGTCCCAGAGATCTCTGGGCAAGACAGCACCTCTGCTAGAGGGTCCCTATATCCATGTCACTTGAGAAACAGTCAGCCTGTGCCCTGCTCAGTCCTGGCAGCACTGAGGGGCTTTTCCTACCTGCCAGGGGCCAAGAGGTGGGTGCTAAGGACTCAAAGTCCCCCCTCATTGTGGCTCCAAGGCCTGTGCGGTGGCAGCAAAGGGCTAGGAGGGTATTCCCAACATCCAATAGAAGGGCCCTGTCCTAGTTTTTATTCAGGGTGTCTGGGGACAAACCCTGGTCTCTCTGATCCTTGTGTAGGAACAACTCCCTCCCCTTCTCCTCCTCAGCCCTGGGGAAGCAATGGTCGCAATAACCAGGTGTCACTGTGCCCCTGGTGGCTGAACTGCCATGTGTGTAGCTGCTGGGGAGACCAAGGAAGGGCAGAGAGAAACCAGGCTGAAACCAGTAACAGCTGGGCACCAGCTGTCTTTACACACAAGCTGTCCCAGCGTTCCCTGCTCTTAGGATGCCCGGCCTGCACAGACCCTGACCATACACACACATTCCCCAGGTCCCTGGATAAGACCCCCTGAACACAGGCAGCCTGGTTCGGGAGCCCAGTGACAGACCAAGCCAGACTGTGCTCTCTGGGCGCCCCTGCCCACACACTGTTCTATTCTCCCAAGCCCTGGGTCCACTCCCTTTACCCTCTCTACCCTACACATTAGAAATTTAGCAGTTTAGAGCAGTGACTCTGGAGTCAGGCTTCTGGGTTCAAATCATAGCTGTGCCACTTTCTAGCCATGTGACCTCGGGGAAGTTGCTTTGCTTCTCTGAGCCTCAGTCTCCTCATCTATAAAACCAGAATAATAACGGTCTCTATTTCACAGGCTACTGGTGCGGATGAAATGAGTTAACACACGCAAAGTGCTTAGAACAATGTCAGCCATGAGTTAGCCCACAGTATTGTCCCCTCACCCAGGCAGGAAGTCATAGCACCGCACCACCCCCTGTCTGTGGCTGTTTCCCTCTCTTCTCTCCACCCCATCCCCCAGCACACAGGTGGCCAGGTGTATCTGCTGACGCAGGAACGCTGGGCTTTCCCCATCTTCCCCACCACCGAGACGCCCGCCCGAGACGTCCTCCCTGCCCCCGCAGCCCTGCCCAGGCCGCCGCGCTCACCCACACAGGCATCGCGCCGCTCCTCGTAGCCGGCGCTGCACACGCACTTGCCGATGGGCACCAGCCACTCGCCCTCGGCGCTGCAGTACATCTTGGGCGTGTCCCGCTCCTCCGAGTGCCGCACGCACTGGCCCCGCACCTCCACCAGCGAGGACGAGTCGGCCCCCGTCACCGCCTCCGAGAAGGCAGCCAGATTCCGCACCATGGCGGGGCACTTCTTGTAGTAGATGCGCAGAGAGAGGATGGCGAGGCAAGCGCCGATGTCCTGGAAGGCCAGGTAGAAGCCGCGCTTGCTGAGGGGCCCCACGCCGCGCACCTCGGTGTTGAGCTTGAGACGCCGCACGCCCAGGTCTGCGCCTGTGAAGCTCTCGTCGGCCGCTATGGTGTCGATTTTGAGGAACTGGCTTTCTTGCGTGCTGGCGCCCAGGTCGCGGTCCGACTCCAGGTAGTAGAGGTTGAAGGTCTCCTTGCAGGTGCCCAGCACGCCCGGCATGCTGTTGCAGTCGCGCAGGGTGAACTTGATCTCTGCGTAGACGCGCCGCGCGCCGTCCCGGGGCACCCAGTTCGTGCGCAGCCAGTTGTTCTGGTTGGGGCTCATGACGTTGCAAACCTGGTACGTGTGGATGGGCTGGAAGGACTCGTCCACCTCATTGATGGAGTCCCACTGTGGGCACAGAGAACACAGCCGGCTAAAGCAGAGTCAGCACCTGGTCCTCTTTTGCCAAAGACCCTGCCACAAGCCACGTGTACTCTGGGTGGAATCCGAAAAGAGGAAGGAGCTGACCTTCTGGTGGATTGTCAGAGCTGCCAGATGCCTGGTACCCTGCAGTCGTGATCTCACAGAAGGCCATCATCCTTCTGGGGAAGTGTCATTTACGGACTTTTTACAGATGCAGAAATAAGAGGCTCAGAGGTGGGAGCCATGTGTCTGAGGTCACTGTGGCTAGCTAACCAGTGAAGGAGCAGATTGGAACTCAGGTCTGATTCATGGCAAAGCTCTGACCTCGTCTCTGTCCAGCTACTCCTATTATTCCTAGAGTGTGGACTTGCTTGGGGAAGTCAGCAAATCCACTTTCCATGTCTGCTGCTGGAGGCATCTTACTATGCAATAAATGAACCAGATCATGTCCCCTGCCCCCCGCCCCCCGCCCCGCCCATCCTCCAGCAGCTCCTCCTGCTGGTGCTTGTCCAGTGACTGGCTGATAGACTGACTCCCTCTGCCCCACTGTACTTGAGGTTCCCTTGCCCTCCACCCAAGGGTGGGACATCATAGGCAGGCCTGGGTGCCTCCAGAGGGAGGGCCAGGACTCAGGAAAGTGGAGTGTGACTACTGTGCTGGCTGCTGGCCAGGCACAGGTGATTCAGACATAAACCAGACGTGCTCAACAGAGGGAAGAGACAGCCCTCTTCCTTGTCTCTTCAAGGAAGAAAACGGGAGAAAATATTTGCAAATCATATATCTGATAAGAGACTAATATCTAACATATACAAAGAATGCCTACAACTCAAAAAACAAACAGCCCAGTTAAAAAACATGAAAGGGACTTGAATAGATGTTTCTTCCAAGATGTCCAAATAGTTCATGAAAAGATGTTCAATGTCATTAATCATCAGAGAAATCTAGATCACAATGAAATACCACTCTAGACCCATTAGGATGCCTGCTATTTAAAAAAACAGAAAAAATAACAAGTGTTGAATAGGATGTGGATACTGGAACCCTTATGCATCACTGGTGGGGATGTAAAATGGTGTGCCTGCTGTGGAAAACAGTATAGTGGTTCTGCAAAAAATTAAAAATGGAATTACCATATGATCCAGCAATTCCATTTCTAGGTATAAATAAATAAATACATATATAAATGTGTCTATATATCCCAAACAATTGAAAGCAGTTTCTCAAAGAGAAATTTGTACATCTGTGTTCACAGCAGCATCATTCACAATAGCTAAAATGTGGAAGCAACCCAAGGGTCCTTCAATGGATGAATGGATCAACAAAATGTGGGCTAGCCATACAATGGAGTATTATTCAGCCTTAGGAAGGAAGGACATTCTGACACATGCCACTATACAGAGGAAGCTTGAAGGCACAAAGTGAAACAAGCCACCCACGTAAGGGCACATAGCATATGATTCCACCTATGTAAGGTACTTAGAATAGTCAGATTCTTAGAGACAGAAAGCAGAATGGTTTCAAGAGGTTCCGTTTTGTAAAGATGAAGAGAATCCTGGAGATGGACAGTGATGATGGTCACACAGCAAAGTGAATGCAGGGTTAGGCTGGTACATTCGATGTTATATGGATTTTACCAGAATAAAAAAGAAAGAGATATGCCAGATATATATTCCTTGCCCTTAAGGGCCCCCAGGCCACAGGCCAGGCTGTGGAGGCTGATGCAGCAAAGGGAGCAGGAATCCAGAGGGGCAAGACTTCCAGGCCCCTCCTTAGACCTTCTGACATGATGTCTGCATGTTCGCTTGCTGGCCTGGCACTGGAATGAAGTAGGAATCTCTTGCAGGGGTGAATACAGTTGGGCTGAGTTCAGTGACTCCTGAGGGCTCCAAGGAGGAGCTGGGGGGATGAGGGCGGAGGGAAGGGTTGAACTCCCAGTCCCTGTCCCAGAGCATGCAACGCCTTAACCTTCATCTCTATTGGGCCTCCATGTGCAACTGTCCTTGAACTAGAGCTTCTATTGATTAAAGGGGCAGGGGACTGATGACCACACCCAATGATGCTCTGAGAATCCATGGGGACTGGAGTTTCCTCCACAAAGAGTGGAGGCCATGGGCATCCCAAGTCTTTTCCTGCCCCACCGCCTGACCTCATCTTGACCCGCAGTGCCCACTTCTGTAAAGTGGGGCTCAGAGAGGCTCCACCTCAGCAAGGCTTGAGAGGATGCAATGAGGAAATGCCTGCAAAGTGCTTAGTTCAGCCTGGCACGGGAAGGCACTTGACGAATAGGATTAATATGGAGCTGAACCGCCAATGTCTTCACAGCCCACTTTGCCCACCTCCAGGGATCAAAGGGAAAGATGTCCTGCTCCTAAGGGGCCACAGGAGAGTGCCAGCATCACCTGAGAGAGTTTGTGCTTCCGGATCTCCCACCTCAAGAGGAACCCCTGCCCCACCCCCCACTCTGCAGCCAGAGGCAGCACTGCATCACATCTGGGGCTAAAGTCATTGTCACAATTAATGGAGCACCAAAGAGCCAGCCAGCTGCTCCCTGTCTGTTTCCTGCCAGGGACCCGGATAAATTAATCAGCTCGAGCTGGGTCTGCTCCAGCTGCCCCACTGATGCCAACGGTCCAGCCTAGCCCTGCCAGCAGTAGGAGCTACTGCAGGTGCCTGGAGTGGACAGGTTCTTGGAAGCCTGGAGCAGGGGCAGAATCAGCCCTGTTTTCTGCCTGGGGCATCCTACCCAGCACTGAGTGCCACTCCCACCCCATCTGCCACTCAAGCCCCCAAAACTGCCTCTTTGAGCCCCTGACACACTGTTTCCCAACTCTGTCCTCTTTCTAGATCAGAATGTGGCAAACTAGCTATGCGGCTCCAGGGATGTCACATTCCCTCTTGGTGCCTTGGGCTTCTCATCTGTAAAATGGGCAGCTAATGCCAGCTTCTCCCGTCTATTCCTGGAGGTGGCAAGGATGAAGTGAGTCTATAGAAATGAACAATATGCCCTCTTAGCCCAGTAGATGGTGATTTGCCAGGGGAGGCAGAGCATATCTCAGCATGTAGAGGTTCCCAAGAACAGGGGAGGGGGCACAGCCTGGTAAAGAGCAGGGGTTCTGGGCCAGATCTCCCTCAACCTTAGTGGAATTGTTCAGCCTCTCAGAGATTCCAGTTTCTCATTGCTAAATGCCCTTCGGATGGACTACTCTACTGATGGCAACTGCACAGTGAGTGTTCTATGCTCAGATGGAGGCCAGGTGAGTGACCTGCCCCAATCACACTGGCCAAAGGAGGCAAAGCACCAGCCCTTCAGACCCAGCACTATGTCCTTCAAGTGAGTAACATATCTGATGCTGGGGACAGTCTTGCATGGCCCTTGTCCCCAGGCTGTTGAACAGACTCCACAATCAGAGGAGTGGACAGAACCTCAAACTTATTAAGCAGAAGATTCCCAGGCCCCTCCCCAGATTTCTTGGATGTGGGAATCTGCAAGTTTCACCTGCCATCCTGGCCTGGCCTGAGTTCAAGGTTTAGAGAGTTGGGGACCTAGGCATTTCCCTCTAGCCTTCTTTCCTCTCCGGGCAAGTCAACTTCCAGGCCCTATAAAGATGGGGGTGGTCCCTGGCTCAGCAGACAATGAGGATTGCCTCCCACCTGTCACAGTGAGGTCACATAGTAGGCCTCATCACTTGCATTTATAAGGTGGCATCAGGGATGCAATGCAGGCTCCAGGCCCAGAGAGACCTGAGTCGAGTCTCAGTTTGCCATCACTTGGAACCTGCCTGCGCCTCAGTTTCCTCATCTGTGAAATGGGGTGGCAGTACCCACCTTGAAGGATTTTTTGTGAGGATTAAATGAGATGATATTTGTGAACTGGTAAGAGTTATGTGAATATCAGTTATTTTGTTCTAACTCTCCAACAAAATAAGAGAATGTTGAGCTATGCTATACGGTGTCCTGCAAACAAGAGAACCTTAGATCACCAGTGTGACCATCCAAAAAACACTCCCAGCCAGGCTCCTCAAAACCCTGATGACTCTTTGTTACTCTAAACACCAAATTCAAGGCTGTTAGTAGGACAGAGACACTCCAGAGCCAATCTGGGGCTAGGTGTGTCCTTCCTGCTGCTGAGACTCAGGGAATGCCAACAGCCGGGCAGTCGGCACGGAACCAATCTCCTGAGCCCCAAGCCTGACCTCCTCCTGGGTCAGCCTCTGCCACAGGCTGGGTCAGCTCACTTCCCCAAAGCCCTTCCACACCCATGCTCACCTGGGGGTGACAGCCACACTGAAGAGTTTCTCACAGAGGGGGAAAACAGGGCCCAGGGAAGTTAAGGGACACCTGGAGGACCTGGCCTCCAACCTCAGGCAGGGGTGACATGCTCAGGCTGCAGCACTGGCTCAGGAGGTGTGGGCTCCCTCCTGGCTCTCAGACCTGCACAGTCAGGGCCACGTGGCCTGACCCCTAGCTCCCTGAAGCCCAGTGAAGGATGGCTGGCGACAGCAGACACTCAGCTCACTTCTGCCCGGTGACAAGACCCCCAGAGAGAGGACTGGGCTCTGTTTGGACCAGTATCCAGAGGCCACAAACTGCCCAGATAAAAATCCTCCTCCAAAGTCAAGAAAGACTCTCTTTCTGGTTAGCTCCTGATGTCATTACCATCATCATTATTAATATTACTATCCCTCTGTCCCCAGAGCCCTGGAAGCTGGAGTGTTTATGAAAGAAGTGGGGTGTGATGATGTGCTCGTGTCTGTGATGGGTGAGTATGAGTGTGAGTCTGAGCACGATGGTAGGGGGGAGATTTACATAAGGTAATAACCACGTGAGCGATACACGCTAATAATGATGCTAATGATCATTATAAAGCCCACCATCGATGCCACCCCTGCCACAAAACCTGAAGAGGTCATCAGCTGCTTGTACCTTTCTAAAGACAGGGCAACTGAGACTTGGGAAGGTGACATGGTGACCCAGGACCACCCAGCTCATCAACAACAAGGGTGGGACCCCGCTGGGCCCAGGGGCTCACATTTACTCTGCTACCTCAGCTTACAGTGGGAGACTGGGCAGTGCAGGCTTGTACCAACAAAAAGGCTTGGGGGGCCATCATCTGTAAGTACACAGCTCACAGGGACCTTGTGGGCTGAGCCCAGAGTCACCTTGAAGGCCAGATGTGCCTGGGAGCTTGGCCAGAGTAGGAGCTGGCAATGCCATTCAGGCAGTTCTGACAATGAAGAGAGACCAGCAGGGGCTGCGGGAGCTGGAGCAGCTCCCGATGAGGGAAGGGTAGTAAAAGAGGGGACCAGTCCAGAAGCCAGGAAGGCCTGGCCTTCCTTGATGTCACTGTGTCCCAGGCTATCCTAGACCCGGTCTTAGCACATTGTAAATCAGGGCTGGTCAGTAATCCCAGGGGTCTACGTGCACCAAACTGATAAGAAATCAGCTGTTCTGCCTCTAGCTTCTATGTGTCCTTGGGTAAATTCCTTTACCTCTCTGGGACTCTGTTTCCTTTTGATCTGAGTCACAGCCTCTCTCTGCTCAGGATGACGCTGTCCCCATTGCCCATCACTTACCCCATGTGCCGGATACGTGAGCCAGCCCCAGTCTCCGTGGATGGTCGATGTGTCCAGCAAATTCACTGTAAAACAGAGACAAGAGGACATCAGGCCCCTGTGAACCCCTCCCCAGCCATGCCAGGCCACTCTCAGCCTCCGACACACAGCTCCATGTCTTTGCACACATGTTCCCTCTGCCTGGACGCCCTTTCTCGCTTCCCCTATCCTTGAAGGCCAGTTCACATTCTCTCTCTTCCCTGAAGCCTTCCTCCACCATTGTGGCCAAAAATCTATCATCTAAACTCCCAGAATACAAGCTGACCAAGTGGTCGGTGGTGCAGTGGGATGGTTAAGAGGGGGACACAGGAGTCTGGCAGGCCCAGATCAGAATCCCAGCTTTCCCACTTAGGAGCTGTATGTCCATGGGCAAGTCCCTTCACTGCCCTGAGCCTCAGCTTTCTCCTCCGTGATAGATGGGGAGTGACAGTGGCTCCTGCCTCACACAGCTTCTGCTAGGAGGGCCTGATCCTTGTTTCACTCATGTGATGTAATGGCATTTGAGCGTTCATGCTGTGAAGTCATGCCTCCCATCTGAGGACTGGGCCTGTCTATATAATCTTCAGTGTCCCCAGGGTGGTGCCTGGCATCTAACAGGTCCTCTGAGCACATGTAGGGTGTGGGTGGCATTAGAGGAGGGAGAGCTGCCTCTAAGTGCACCTACTACGTGCTGAGAAGTAGTAATTCTTATCTGCAAGAGGAGAAGTAGTAATTATTATCTCTGCTTATGGATGAAAGAACCAATCACAGAGAAGCCCAGACACTTGCCTGGATCCCCAAAGGTGTAGCTGTCAGGGGTGGCATTCAGCACATCGGCCATGGCAACCAGACAAAACCACCACCCCTGTGTGCTCAGCCTGGCCTGAGAAACAGAACTCTGAGTAGTCCCCACCATGGGGAAAGAGCACTGTCTAAAAGGCAAGTCTATTATAAGTAAGGCCCTGTGGAAAGGGGACCTTGTATAGTTCCCCAACATGGCAGAGAAAGAACCTGCCTTTGGGGTCATCCCTAAGGGTGGGATGAGGGTTAAGAAGCCATGTGAAAAGCCCAGAGCTGATGCCCAGTCCAGAGCCCGTCCTCACCAATGCTACTTCCCTAAGTCCCATCCCTCCTGCCATTGTCCCATCTCTGTGGCCACCCCTTACTTACTGTTTAGTACCTGAGGATACAACTGCAGCTCGGTCAGTCCTTTCCCCTTTCTGGGCCCCTGCTTCCTTTCCATCTAGTTGGGGATAGCTGTATGAGAGGCTCCAGAGTTCCTTTCACCCTCTCTTCCATGAACCTCCTCTCTTAGCCAACAACGGGCTTCCAACTACCCCAATCAGCAGGGCACAGAGGGTTAAAGCCGGGACCCTCCTGGAACTTTCTCACAGGGAGGCTGAGTGTCCTTCTGCCTGAGATTTGCATAGCTCAGAGCCTGCCCCTCAAAGCTGGAGACAAGTGTCCTCAGGAAATGTTGGAGTGAGGATGCTCTTATTTGCTGATTTTCTTCTGCCTCTCACCCTCCCAACCCACTGTCAGGGACCCCAGAGGAGCTGGCTGGAGAGGGGCTGGTAGAACCAGGGAGGGGGGCCTCTGTGCTCCTCCCTGGGTCCCCAGGGGCCATGTGGCTTAGGGGATGGAGCAATGTCCACAGAGAGATCTCCCCCTCCCTGATCCAGCCCCACGCCAGGGCCATAGGCAGAGAGAAGAAGGCTTCCTGCCTCCCTCCCTCCTTCCCTCTCAGGCAATGTAGAGAAAACTGGGTCAGGCGAGCTCTCTCCTCATGCTGGCTGGTGGGAGGGGGAGGGGGGCTGCACTGCAGTTTCCCCCAGACCAGAGGGGCTGAGTTTGGGGACAGGGTGCGAGAGGCCACCTATAGGTTCTCCTACCCCACCCTGCATCCCAGGCACCAATCTCGGGGTTGGTGCACCCCTTCTTATGATGTGGCCTGGATGCAGCTTAGACCTGCCCCTGCCCTGGAGCAACCCATGGAATGTCCACTGCTTAGAATTCTCCCCCGGAACACCCTGACTTTAGGGCCTGCAGACCCCACTCTCTGGGCTGTCCTTCCTCTGGGAAACCACGCCACATTTGCAGCTGATTCTTGGTCAGCCAGCCAGGGGGTTCAGATAATCCAAAGCTAAGTCAAAAGTCGATGCTATCGGATTCAGGAAGGGCTATAGGATTCCAGGGCTGTTCTAATTCCTTCCAGACCCTTCTCTATTCCTCCCCCCCACTCCCATCCCCACTTTCCCTACCTACCTCATGACCCCTTGTATGGGTGGGAATAGAGTGTCTTTCAAGGGAAGCCAGGCCCACAGGAGGTCTGATCAGGGCAGGAGAGGGATCCCAGCATCAGGCCTGCCCGGCCTGGGCCTTAGTCCCCTCAGAAATTGAGACACTTATGGTCACCACAGCTGGCCGCTCTCTGGCCTCTTGCACCTGCACCAGGAAGCCAGTTCCCCTTTCTGGGCTTGTCCCCACTTGCAAAATAGGAGGACTGGATTCAAGGTCTCTTGGGACCCTTCAAGGAAGTGAATCACTTAACCTGTCTGGGCCTCAGTTTCCTTACCTGAAAGACGTCCACAGGCATCCCTCTTAGCCTTATCTGCCTGGGCTGTTCTAGGGGGATCAAACAGGTCCCTCCCCTGCTCTGAGAAGCGCAGATAATTCCTAAGCTGTTCCTGTTCGACTGTGGAAGGCATTATGCGATTTCTTTTTTTCTCCAGCACCGTCACCTTCCCCCATTCCATTTTGCTGAGACTAATACTTAAATTGATTTACATTCCCTGAGGACTCAGCGCATGATGGTGAGGCTGGAGAATTCAGGGTGGCCAGGGGATGTCAGCCAGGATCTGAATGACTTGGAGATCACCCCAAAGTGGAGGATAATCCACACAAGGGAGTGATAAGTGCCCCGGGGCCTGCTGGGGCTCAGGGGCATCTCTGCAGGTGTAGGGCCCTTCCCAGCAGGACCCGTGTGAGAGGCCTGGCGAGGGGTACCTGGCCAGGCAAAGGCATGTTAACCTTTCTGGACCCCAGTTGGGAACAGAGTTCCATCTCTGACATCAGACAGTCTCCCTAACAGGTTCTGGTTGTTCTGTATCAGCCCAGGGATAGGGCTAGAAAGGACTCCTGGATGTCCCATATGGAACACAGGCCCCAGGTCTCCACCCCATGGCTGTGAGACCCGCATGGGAAGTACCTGGCTTTAGACGCCCTGCTGCATTAATCACATGGGGCGTGGCCTCTGGCCCTTGGACAATGCCTCCCTCCACCCTGGACAGACCCCCACCTGCCTCTCATCCCAAACCTTGCCTCTCTCCCAGCTTATGCCCTTCCCCAGACATGTCCTCTCTCCCGGGCCATGATCTGTCCCCAGCATGAGAGCCTGCTCCATGTTCCCTCTTCAAAGGGCCCTGAGGCTTGCCAGAATGTCACTCCAGAGGGTGCTGGCTCTTCCCCAAAGAGAGATGAGGCAAGAAGTTGGGGTGCACCACCCAATGCCCTTGACATGGGCCTCTCAGCATCCTGCCCTCTTCTCCATCCACACCCTGGAACGCTATCCTCTTAGGCACAGTTCTGAAGGTCTGAGGCCCTTCCTGCCCTCCTCCTCACGCACCCAGCAGCCCCATGCCAGGTCTCTTCTGGTGTCCCAGGAGCCTGCACCTCATCCCCACCCACCCCAGCCAGCCTGCTCTGCCTACTGTCTCACCTCAGCCCCGCTGCATGGCCCCTGCTGGGCCTCAAGTATCATATTCTCTGCCTGTGCCCCTGCATTTCAATGGGCATGAATGAAATCATAAGGGCTCCTTATATATGTGGTGTGATGTATATAAGCATATGTGGGCTTTACACGTGTGTGCACCTGTGCCTGTGTGTACACGTGTACTTGTGCACATGTGTGTTGGCTGCCTTTCTGCATATGTGACTGTGCTGTTACATGGGGGCCCAGGGTACTGTCCATGCATGAGCCTCTGCAGGCCTGGGTGTGAGTCCCGATGGATATGTGCATGCGTTTATGGGTAGGGTGGGATCTCAGTGAGCTGTGCGTGAGGGGGCGGATTTGTGCTCTGAGTGTGGAAGAGTGACACAGGCTCTGGTGCTCACACCCGGATGTTCATCCTGGCAGGGGGAGAGCCCTGAGCTGCACCCCTGACATCAAGGGAGCCAGCTTCCTTGGGCCAGCACTGTGGGGACAGAGGAGGTCCAGGGCAGGGGCTGGGGTGTGGGAAGCTGGACCAGGGTGGCATTCTGGGCTGGCCCTGGAGTGTCCAGTGAGCTGAGGGGTGTGTGTGTGTGTGTGTGTGTAGGCAGGAGGCCCTGGGAGCTCCTTCTCAGCTTTCCTTACCCCCCGCCCCCCACATATACTCCTCCATCAAAAGTCACTCCCCAGACCCTTTTGGTCCCAACTACTCAGTCCACACCCCCGTCCCTACCCTACTCCCACTCCCTTTCCCAGGGACCACCCGAGTGCCCAGCCACCCTGACCAGTGTCCTGCCTGCCTCAGTCTTTCTGTACCCCAAGCCCTCTCCTCACTGACCCTTCCTCCTAGACCAGTCCTGCTCCCCAAAGCTGCCTCTCCTTCAGCTGGTTTTCCCCTGCTGTCCCTGACTCCCCTAGTCATCAGCCTCTGACCCTTGGCTGCCCCTGTCCCCAGATTCTCAACCCTGTCCCTCCTTGCTGTCCCCTCCCAGCCCTGCCGGTCTCTGCTCTTCGGTCCTGGTTTCTGTTTCCTCTGTTTCTGTCCCTCTCTCCTAATGCCATTCCACACCCCCTTTTTCTTCAACCCTCAGAAACCTGTCCCCCATTCTTATGTCCCTCTGTCCCATGGTGCCTGCCACACTGCTGTCCTCTGTCCCCATCTCCACCCTCTGTCTGCCTTACTGTCCCCTCTCTCCTCCACGCCTCTTCTCTTGTCTCTGTCCAGTCCTGTCCTCTCATCCCCAGTGTCCACCCCTCAGTTCCCTGTCCCCTGTCCTTTCCCTCTGTCCCCCAGTCCCCTGTGCCTCTGTCCCTCTTCCTCAAGCCCTCAGGTCCCCATCTCCATCACTTTGTCCCTTAACCCCAGATCTCTTCCAGGTGCCACCCCTGCACCTCCAGGCCGAGGGATCTTGCTGCTTGGAGCTCAGGGTCGTGGCAAAGGAAGTTGAGCCGCAGGCAGCGCGCGCCGCGCCCCTCGGCCACCCCCGCCCCGCCGCCGCTGCTCACCTTCGCCGCGCGCCGCGG